AATCATTTGTATATTTTTTTTAGACAGTCTTTTAATTTTAGTGTGTTTAGCTAACCGTGATAGTTGATGAAATTTTGGAAGGAGTTTTAATTTTTTAGGTTTTCCTCACACCAAAAGTATTTGATGATGAAGGTTCAAAATGTAGTTGTGGTTTTAGATTTTGCTAGGCAAGCAATCATAGATAATTTTCTAATTAAAATTTTTATTTTATGGTGTACTCATGCAAAGAATCAATGATGTTAAAGTTCCATGGATTTTATAATGGATTACAAATTAAAATTTCTTTTAATCTTAAAATTTTATGTTTATTGATAAAAATATTAAAAGTTTCAACTTTTTGACAAAATTTATATATTAGGATACAAGTATTATATGTAATCCATATTTAGTTGGTGTTCAAGTTATATTTAATTTTTATATGAAATATCCTAATCTCCTTAGTCCTTATCTAGGTGTATTAGTTACAATAGGTCTATAAGTGTCTAAATGGTGCTAGATTTGGTTTTCAATGACTAAGCTAGGGAAGGAAAAGCCACTAAGTTATGGGGACTTAATCCTAACCTAGATTAGAAAGCCAATATTTTGGTGCACTAAATCTTCTATAGTATACTAAATCTTCTATAGCAAGCCAATATGTTGGTCCTATAAGTGTCTTTAATAACCTTGTCTATAGCATTGTACAAGCCTGCCCAAGGTGGATCTATGAGTGCCTATATCGGGATAAGCTAGATCCCGAGCCACTACACTAGAGAAGAAGGCCATTGGGGGATTTGGCCCTAACATTTACTTGATAGGGTAGGTTTGTAGGTATCTAGACTAGACCTAAGGTTTTGATTTGGGTTTTCAATAACTAAGTTTGAGAAGGAGGCCACTGGGAGACTTAATTCTAAGCAAAACTAACTTGTCGAGGTGTTGGCCTGTGAAATAATTCGGAGGACAGTAGATTATTAAAACCAAGTTGATCTAATGGGTGTCTACATTAGGGTATACTAAATTCTAAATTCTGGGAAGAAAACCATTACAGGACTTTGCCCTAACCTAGATATACTAGTTAGGATAAGTCTACAGGTGCTAAGCAAAGTTAAACTAGACCTAAAGGTTTCGTTAAAAGTTTATGTGTTTTTTTTTTTAATCTGTTAAGTGTTGTCGAGATGAGAATGATTAGGTGGATTAGTGGCTTTACACTTAGAGATAGAATGCAAAATGAATATATTCGTGATATGGTTGGTGTAGCTCCGCTGACAGACAAAATTAGAGAGAGTCATCTTAGATGGTTTGGTCACATTAAACGTCGACCATTTGATGATTTGATTAGGAGAGTAGATCTTTTAGATTCGACTTATGTAAGAAAGGCAAAGGTAGACCTAGGAAGACTTGGGCTTATTGTATAAAAAATGATCTTATTTTATTAGAACTAAATGAAAATATGACACTAAGTAGGACACAATGGAGAAAAAGGATTCACCCCATGTAGTGGGATTAAGGCTTTGTTGTTGTTGTTTTTGTTGATGTAATTATTTATTTGAAAATATGTATTAAACTATTTAAAATATTTTTTTCCTAAATTGTTGGTTTAAATGGGTCTTTACCAAGGTATGATGGAGCCGGTATTTACTCATCTATATAAATTTGTTATTATGCATTATTCATTTATGTGGACTAACCAATTTATCAAAATCCAAGAAAGCCCATTATGGGATAGCTCTGAGGCAAATGGGTTGGGCCTATCTAATTGATAGCTCTATTCTCATATATCCAGTTCAGAAGAAGTGCATCAAACCTAACCTCATTCCTTATGTTAAAGATATTGGTATAAAACGTTTCTTTATCTATTTGTTAAATTGCAATATTTGTTTTTTTTTGCGGTTGTTTGCTCGATCCTCTAATAAAATGTGCTTATTTAACAATGTGGAATGAGTAGTGCTTTTGAAGCGGTTTTCTCTGTTAGAAATATAACAAAAAATTTTTATGTTAACTTTTAAGATAGTTTCATTAAGATGCCTTGACTAAGAGTTGAATCGTTTCTTATGAAGGCACGTTTATTTAGTCAGAGAACTACTTGAATGTCTTGCTAATATGCTTATTTTAATTTTCTTAGTATTTAGTCAAAGAACAATATGTGACACTAAAAATTCTTCTTTTAATGATCTTTATAATCGATTAGATATGAATGAGTGCGAAAAATATATGTGTAAACTAGCCAAACAAAGAGAAAAGAAAAGTAAATATTTTACTCAATTAAAGTGTATTAAAGATGAAAATCAAAAAATGATTTTCTTAGAAAAAGATATTCAACATAAGTGGGTGAGTTATTTTGATAAACTTTGTAATGAAGTTTTTGAAAATACGATCGACATTAGTGATCCTAATATCTTTAATAATAATAAAACTTTTCTTTTTTACCGTCGCATTAGTAAAATAGAAGTTGAGGAGGCTTTAAAGAAAACCAACGGTGGTAAGTCTGTAGGACCTGATGATATCCCAATTGAAGTATGGAAATGTTCAGAAGACTTGAGAGTTTCTTGGTTTACTAAACTCTTTAATATTATTTTAAAAACTAAAAAGATGTCCGAGGAGTGGAGAAAAAGTATTTTGGCCCCAAAAAGTATTTTGGCCCCCATTTTACAAGAGTGTGCAAATTATAGAGGAATTAAGTTGATGTGTCATACTTTAAAATTATGGGAGAGAGTAATTGAACATAAGTTAAGATGTATTACAAAGATTTCTCATAATCAATTTGGATTTATGCTGGGCAGGCCTACGATAGAAGCTATACATTGAGAAGTTTGATGGAGAAATTCAGAGATAAGAAGAAGAATTTATATTTGATTTTTATTGATTTAGAAAAACTTACGATAAGGTTCCAAGAGATATCCTTTGGAGAGTTCTTGAGAAGAAAGGTGTTGATATGACTTATATTCAAGTCATTAAAGATATGTATATTATAGTTGTTACTTGTGTTCAAACTGAAGGAGGATTGATCAAATATTTTCCTATTTCTGTTGGATTACATCAGGGATTGGCTTTAAGCTCATTTTTTTGCTTTAGTTAATTTTTTTGCTTTAGTTATGGATGGTCATACTGGACGCTTACAGTGGGATGTGCCTTGGTGTATGCTTTTTGCTGATGATATCCTTCTCATGGATAAGACGAGAGAAAAAGCCCAGGAAAAGCTTGAATTATGGAGGTCAACATTGGAGTCTAAAGCCCTTCATTTATGTAGAACTAAAACTGAATATATGGAATGTAATTTTAGTAGTAGTAGCTCTAGTGACAGAAGTGTAACTTTGGGTGATCAAATCATCAAAAGTTGTGAACGATCATTAAAAGCAAATTATTAAAAGGTGTGAACGATTTAGGTATCTCGGGACTGTTGTTCAAAGCGATGGTGATATAGATAGGGATGTTAATAGTAGAATTCAAGTTGGTTGGTTGACGTAGAGGAATGCTTCGGGCCTTTTGTGTGATAGAAAAAATAGAAAAGTACTGCTTAAACTGAAAGGAAAATTTTATAAGATGGTGGTGAGACTTGCAATGCTCCATGGCGCTGAATGTTGGCCTTTAATAGATAAGCATAATACTAAGTTAAGTGTTGTCAGATGAGAATGATTAGGTGGATGAGTGACTTTACACTCTGAGACAAAATGCGAAATGATTATATCTGTGATAGGGTTGGTGTAGCTCCCATGACGGAGAAAATTAGAGAAAGTCGCCTCAGATGGTTTGGTCACATTAAACGTCAACCATCTGATGAACCGATTAGGAGAGTAGATGTTTAGATTCGACTGATGTTAAGAAAGGCAGAGATAGACCTAAAAAACTTGGGCATATTGTATAAAAAATGATCTTAATCCATAAGAATTAAATGAAAATATGACACTGCACTAAGTAGGACGGACTGGAGAAAAGATTCATGTAGCCGACTGCACGTAGTGGGATTTAGGTTTTTTTGTTGTTGTTGTTGTAAGTATAGTTGTCTTAATTAATGATGGCACTTATTTTCCGAGCATGTGGACCAATTTTCTTGATCATGATGATTCCTGCGGTCCTATTTTCTTGATCACGATGCCCTAGTGCAACTTTTCTATTGAAACTGTTTTCTGTTATCCCAAAAGTTGGGAGGATTACAGTAAGCTGCTTATGCGGCCATAGTTCCATTAAGGAAAACAAGTCAAATTGTTCCATCAAAGTTTGCTTTCTTATGTTAATATTAGTTGGCATTCTATGTGGAAGGTGAAGGAATTTTGACGAAAATTATGTTTAAAGATTGGTAGGTGAAAAGTATCAGTTCACAATTTATTGATGACCTTTCTGCCGCCTAAAAGATACTTTATAAATTTGCTTTTTGCAAATACCCCATTTTCATAATACTACTGTAAATAATGTAAATTGAAAGGTGTTCCATGTCAAACATTTCTTCTAAAGCATAAAAATGTGAATACCGTCTGCTATTATTAGCATATAGCAGTTGTGACTAGTTAAATTTTGGTACTGACTGTTTTCTTTGTATGTCTTGAAAATGACTACACACTATAACTTGATATTAAAAGAAAAAAAAAACAAAATCTAATCATGCTATTAGCTATGTCCTGAATTTACAGATTTGTCTTCATTGAAGTTTCAGAATTGAAATTATTTCACAAAATGCTTAATTGAGGAGAAAGTCTAGATGTCTGAGTTGGAAAATATCTCTTTATTATTAATTACTTACTAAAAAATAATTGGGGCATATATATAAATGTATAGGAATTAATTGTTATGTCTGTAATCTTCCAATGTAATATTCTACGACCTTGAATTAATCTGGGCTAATGTTTACAGTTAAACAATACAAAATCAAGCAACATCTAAATCTAATCCACCCGTTAGCTTGTTTAGCGTTACATTTTTAATCTTTTTTTTTTTGTTGATCCTTCATGGTTAGTATCCGAATGTGTTATTTCTAAAGAGCTTTATCTATTTTAAAAACTATACCTAATCCGAGTCTCACTTATGAATAGTTGATTCCCAAGGACTGTGGACCACCGGAGAAACAAATCATGCCTCCATTCACTTCCAGGCATCCATCTGAACGGAATGGTACTATTACTCCTCTTCTTGCTGAATTTACATTGTCCTGCCTAATTGCCTTTCAAATATGCTTGGCTCAATTTCATATTTTGTGCAGGCGAGCCATCGTTTAGTACAAGAAAAATTGCTAAAATCACTGCTGATGCTGAGCCTAAAAGAAATTTGAATTGTGAAAGGACAACCGACAGTACTGCGAACACCACTGCCAAGCCTGCCACAAGAACGGGTGAATTCACGAGGCTGATTTCTAAAGCTTCAGTTGCTGAATGGACAGATGAGCAATTAGAGAAGCTCTTCTCTGACTACGAGGATGATGTCGACCTGGTTGGGCCTGCTGTTTGATTTGCCAACAAGTTGTGCCGGTGAAAATTCATTAAAAGGTTTATCAATACAGCTTAATGATGAAGTAATTCAGCCCCTTGAATCTATGTTTCTTTCTCCTCAATAATTTCAATCATAGCATCTATTTACATTGCTCCTATTTCTCTTTCTCCTAGGGTATTTACATTCACATCTTCCAATTCCTATGTAAGTTGATATCTAACACCTTAATTTTACTTTTATACATTCATATCAACTAAATCTTTTATATCACATAAAAAATATCATTATTTTAACTTTAATAAAGTGAAATACACCTTTTCATGCACGAGTAAGCTGACATATATGTAAAAACTAAAATTTAGGTGTTAAATATGTAAATAATTAGGAATTGAGTGATTTATATGTAAATCTTCCTTAGTTATATGTACTAATCAATTAAGAGTTGTTGCAGCTTAATTGATTTGTTTGTCTTTATTTTGCTTACATTAGTCTTAATCTTTTTGGATTGTTCTCATAAATTCCATTTTTTCTTTCATTAATCTACTACTATGGTTTGTATAATTTCAATGTTTTGTGTTAAGAATATTAATGTAACAATTTGATTATTTCAGTGGATGATCATGATGTTGTTTATGAAGCCATTGGAGTTGTTATCATTTAGAAATAATGTTCATATATATATATATATATGGAAGCTATTATTATTATTATCTTAGGATCGTTGACTCTGGCCAATTGAACTCTAATATCTCAACACAGGTATAAATAATTAGCTCTAGATACAAATTTTAAGGTCATGTGAGATCTCTTGGTTTTTTAGATTTATAGGTTGTGTTGCACGCTTGCAAACTTTGATCATTAGTTTAAAATATATTTAAACGTGTTCACACGAATCTCAAAGCATATGGGCGGCTCAGGAAGGAGATGTGGACGATCGAGTGTAGCCATAGACAATGGTTTCCAAATAAGTAGCGGTGAAGAGCAGTTTATCCAAATGATCAATTGAAGATGCCAAGAGGAAATCCCGTAGAGTTTGCAATTAGCCTTCAGGGCCAAGGCATAGATCAATGATCATCATAGCATCGAGAACACCCCCGATATAATCACGAGGTCCCTCGCGAAGCCCCGCTCAGGGTATCCATGACAGAGATAGTGGACGACATCTAGGATAAGGACTTCTTTAGGAAGACGACGCCTCTGAGAGCCAAAGTTTTTCTTCTGAATAGCAGGAAGTACTGTAATACCATAGAGGTCACGGACGCAACACGGAGGAGTGCACGCACCAACAAAAATTGATCAAGGAGTTGATAAAGGAGGGGAAGTTGAAAGAGTTCGTCGCCCTTAGAGCCACGACCCAAAGGCTGAACAAGGCTCTCACATAAGGAGCGACCGATGGGCCCATTCGCACCAACGCTATTCACATTGCAGGGTATGTGCCCACAATCTTTTAAGGAAGTGAGCCGCCAAAGAAGATAAACCGGAAGAGACAGTAAACAGTGGAACTTTGCATCACCACCTTTTGCCTAGAAGCCCAAGGATCATCCACCTATCTATTTCACTGACGAGGATCTTCCCAAAAAGAGAAATCAATATAACGACAACATTGTAATAATGATAATAATAATAAATTACCAAGTAGGGAGTATTCTCATTGATATAGGTAGTTCTGTGAATGTGATATTCAAACAGGTATTAGACAAACTAAGCCTCACTATCGATTGGATTGCCGCACCGCTCGGCCCGCCGTATGGATTCTCAGGCAAAATGAAGGAATGAGAGTGGTTGGGCTTCCGATAATCTTGGGAGAAAATTAAAAACTATTTACGCTTACAGATGATTTTCTCATGGTAGATTCGTCCCTAACTTACATTGCTCTATTCGGTCGATTGCTGCTGGACAATTTTAGAGTTGTAGTCTCTACTTACTACGTCGCTGTCAAGTTTCCTTGAGATGGAGAGATCATAATAGTTAGAGTGACCTAGAGCTATCTTGGGTCTGCTACTTGCGGGCTATAAGCAACGAGGAGCGCGATCCCCTGGATATCCAAAATGCAAGGAAGGGTGGCCTCATAACCAGCGAGGCCATTAACGAAACTTTTAATGCAGGTCACCAGGAGTTGATGGTCCAAACCCTTCGACAAAACTAAATGTTTTCACGTGGAAGTCCACTAAGATGTCAGGCATGCCAATCGATGTCGCGTGCCACAGGTTAAACATTGATCCATCGACCCGACTCATGAAGTAGAAGGTCAGGAGTTTGGCCATGACGTTGGCATGACCAATCTAAGATGAGGTACGAAAACTTGATCCCGATTTTATCTGACAATACGATGTATGCGTATATTCTTAATTTTTCCTTATAATTCTTCTTTGCAACGGTGCCAAAAACTTGATTCTAAGCAACGGTTAAGCAAAAGCTTGACTTCAAAGAAAATAAGAATGTAATTATTATATTTAATTATGTGATACCGCAAGTATACGTATCGTTATCAAGTAATATAGGATTTTTTTATTAAACCCCAAATATCGAACCCATAGGGAAAAAAATACAATATGCAATGAAAATCAAAAGAAACTAGATAACAAGTTCTACTTTGCAAAATATTCTTACTCAAACTATAGAGTTTGATTCTTTTTTTTATTTTTTATAATTGAAAGTAAAGTAAACAACAACTAAACTTAACTAGATATTTGTAAAATAAAGACAATATAAATAAAATATCATTTTCATTATCATGACTCAATAACAAGTATAGGAATTATGTTGTGGAAGTTTTCAAATTATGTTATGTCAAATAGAAGCAATAGTATTATTTACCCTTACTAGAGATGTTATAAAGAACATTGACTAATTTAAAGTTTGAATAGTCTTGAAGACAGGTTAGGTATGGAAGATACTAGCTCTCACTCTAGAGTTTCATCTTCTCCCTCCACCTGGGGGCTAACATCTCGTATCAAAACCTAAAACTATAAACCAATTTACGGGTTTTAGTCTATCACTCTAAAGTCCTCTAATTCTACACCCTTCAAAGTTTATTTCCTTATTTGTTTGCACTCAATCATATGAATTATATTCTCATTCATATAACCTCATGTGATTCTTTAATACCTCACACAACTTCCATCCAATAATTAATCACTTATCATTTTAAGGAAAAAGATAAAGAAAACTACTTAGAATTCATGGAGAAAACACAACCACACTTCACAATCACACTGAAGTTTAAAAGTAGAAATCATGCAAACAAACAAGAAGTCTAAACTAAAACCAAATGTAGTCACAAAGATACAAAACTTAGCTCAAATCCTCTCCACCAAACTCTTGAAGTTCCTTTGAATCTCTTCCTTTACTTACAATACAAACTACGTCTTAGAATACTCTCTACTCACACACTACAACTCTTCTCTTCTCTCCAATAAAATATCCTAATTAATCTATGAGAGAGACGTCGCTGGTGTGGCTATGGGGGCGTGTAGGAATCTCTCTCGTACGCTGGGAGGAAGGCTGAAAGAAGACTTTTCAATCCAATCCAAGTCCTTCTTTTATAATTTTCCAAAAGGTGTCTTAGTGTCTCTTCAAAATGTGTCTACATTCAATGAATCTTCCAAGAGTTGCCTCCTTTCAAAAGCCAATTGAATTTATTTTCGTGTCCATTAACTATTTCTCACGTTTTCACCAAGGGTTGCTTCAAACACCTCTTCAAAAATTTTCCAAATTCATTAAATCGTCAAGTAACTATTTTTGGCGCTTAAGCGTGAGGTACTTGGCTCTTAAGTGCGGCCGGTGCTTAGGTGCAACCTTATCAATTTTACTGCCGCGTAAGCGCCAACTCTAGGCGCTTAGGCACCATAGTTCTTTTACACACCTTCATTTTTGCTCCAAATTTGATCATTTTTCACTTATTTCACTATTTTTCATCCATTTGATTATACCTGAAATAAAACACACAAATATCTTCCATTAAAGCACAATATCTGAAAAATAGGTATAAAACTATTTAAATAAAGACTATATATTTTAGGTGTATCAAAATCCTCCAAACTTAAAATGTTACTTGTCCTCAAGTGATACTCCAATCTTTCAAAACCAAATTATGTAGATTATGTAAATGAGTTTTTTTAGGATATTCTAAAATTTTGATCTAGAAACATAGTAGTCCAATTTAAAAAAAAACATTAGTATATGAGACCAACTTAGAGTTTAGAAATTTTTAATATAAAGAAGTATGAAAATATGAGCTCTTATCTAGTTCAGAAATATTTGTGAATTCTCCAAATATAGAGTTTAGGCATTATATCTTCTCCACTTAAATTTTTTTTTAAGAATAATTATATATACTATATTATATCTTTAAACTTTAGAGTTTCTCAAGTCGTATACTTTAAAAAGATCAGATGTGAAATAATTTTTTTTATTAGGCACTAATCCTCAAGCTTCTCCTCCCTATTTCAATTTTCTTTTCTTTCTCTTTTTCTTTTTCTTTTTCTTTTCCTTTCTTTTTTTTTCTTTTTCTTTTCTTTTTTTCAGGTGAAGATTATTATATTTGGATAGGTCTTTAATGATTTTGAATTTCACTCTTCCTTTCCTAAAGCAAAGTTCTGATATATATCATTTACTTAAAAATATAATAATAGTTTTGAAAATTATTTTTAATAAAAGAAAGTTAAGTATTGTAATATTTTTCAAAAGTATAATTTCTCCTAGTAAAGATAGCGACACAATTTTATCATTTCAACACTAAAATTTTTTAACTTTAAGTTTTTCTTCATTACTGTAGGTTTCAGCTAAATTCTCTTACTCATTTCTATATTCACAATTTTACTTTCCTAATATAACTTCATATACATAATCATTTTTTAAAATCAAAATCAAACTTATTTGTAGCACATTTGAGAACAAATAAACTTCGAGTTTTAGAAAAGTTTTTCATCTCCCAATTTGATCAATCTTTTTTTTGATATAGTGACAATTTGAGATGCTAAAATAAACATTTCATCAAAATCATGAATACTAGCTACTCTCTTTGGATTTACCGTTTAGAGGACCATTGAAAATTATTAGTAGTTATTTCCTCTATTAAAGAACATGCTTCATCAAAAGGTTTTGACATTAATGATCCACCTGTAGCAGCATCTATAATCTAATCCATTGTAAAAAGTTTGA